TAGGAGTTGTAATTCATATACATGGAAAGAGAGTTTCTTGTGAATACTTTCTGGAGTTATCATACCTGCTCTTTTGTCTACAATTACCATGTTTCATTTTAATTTCACGGAAATCAAATTCTATTAATAATTCCATATAATATCATTTACAATCTTTAGCATTCCAGTGTTTGTGTATTGCCTCCCTATGTTTTTCCCTTATTTATGCTGATTTTTTTAAAAAAAATAATTCAATAGAGTCACAGTTTTCCTTCTACAAAGCAGAAAACATCTATTGTTTGAAAATATTTCTTAATTTGATTGATCAACATCATAAGAGTGGAACCTCCATTTTATATTGCTTCTAACATATTGCAAAAAGGGCATTAATAAGATTAAAAGACACTGTTTTGAGAAGAAACTTTTAAAACCTCTTTACGCTATGGAATAAACTTTGTGCCCTCTTCTCATGTCTGTTAACTTTAAATTTGAACAGATCTATATTGATAGGGAGAGAAATTTACAGTAGAGGCAAAAGAAATTAAAGAGGTATCTAGGTAAGCAAAATGATTATTCACAGTAACTGAATTTCAGTTTGTTACGTTAAGGTAATAAATAGCCCCTTTTTCTGGGGCGTAAGGTACCTTTTTCTGGGGAGAAATCCATGTACCTAGTTTTACAGATTATCCTTCCTCAATGTGGTACTTCCATCAGATGCAGACAGATTATTATTATTATTTGGTTCTCCTAGATGTGTTAGATTACAATTTCCATCATTCTCAGCCAGCAGCTTTTTTGTTATATTAACTGGGGTGATAGCAGTGTTATCAAAGAAATCTAGAGGCTGCCAGGTTGGGAAAGTTTGAAGCAGACAAAATGTAGAGATGATGAGTGGCTCAACCGTCTTTCATGTTATCTTGGTTTTAGTTGTACAAGCTTTTCATTCATAACCAAGGAATGTTTGCCTTTCATCAACCTGCTCCACATCCGTTACCTGGCTGGGCAGGTATGTAATTAAGAGAAGGGGAGTAGGCTGGCCCAATAGTTTTATCTGATAAGAGAAGTGAATGCTTCTATTTTAAAAAAATCCATTTCCCTTCCCCCAGTCTAAGAGTAGGGAGGAGACAGGTTTTAAGCTTAAGCAAACGTCATTATCCTTCCTTTTTATATATAAGTAAAATGAACACAGAGACACAAACAAAAGTGAGAGCAATGTCTGTTTGCTTTCTGTTTTGTTCTGATACTGCTTTGCCATTCAGAGTACTTGCATCGGCTAACACTCAAACTGTTGGATTTTGGAAATCTCTTCACACACTTTCTTTTTCATTTGGGCCCTACAAAATTGCTAAGCATTTGGCACAGTAGATCTCCATAGAGAAGTAAATTCAGCAGGAGTGGCTGTGTAGTTTGGTTGTTCTAAGTTAACTACTATACAATATAATCAATATGCATTTATCTTGAGGTATGCCTTGTGTCTTGATCAGTATTTATGATAAATCATGACCATACAATTGCAATCTAAAAATATTTTATTCATTTATAATTTTCTACTGTACTATTCAGAAAGCTACATATAGTACGTGTGTTATTTATAACAGAGAAGTACCTCTAAAAACCATGAGTATCTGAAATGCAGGTTATTTTTTAGGAGAAGCCTTTTTGTTTAATTACAAACGCATTTTTTTCTGTGATGTCCTTGTGTCACATACCGGCATCATCTACAATTGATGTGTTTTTCTTCAAAGCAGTTAAGTTTTTCAAATACCAAGTAATTCAGTCTAATAGAGATTCCATGGGTGATATTTAAGATGTAAGTGTGCAGATATGATTTTCAAGTTAGATATAGAGCAAATGACAAAATCAGTGGGCTTACCTCTTTATTTGCCTTTATTAATAATAACAGCATACCTTTTAAAATAAGTCAACCTCTATTTTTAAAAGAGATATAGTTACTCCTTAGACTTCCTATGAAGAAATACTTGCTCTCTTCAGTTCAGTTCAGTTTATTGGTCTTGTATGCTGCCCACTCCCGAAGGACTCCAGGCGGCTTACAATAAACAGGGGAAGGGGATAAAAAGACAAAACAGTGGGTTGCAGGCGTACCGGAGCCAGTCCGGAGCACCAGATACTGTTCCGGTACTGTGCTCCGGAGGGTCCACCCGCCCACCTGAGCTCCTTACCTGTGTTTTAAGGCTTCTGCGCTTCCGCGCATGCGCATGGTGCATACAGCACCTGCATGACGCTCCATGGAGCACCTAGAGCATCACGGAGCATCACAATGCACTGCACGCATGTGCGCACATGCTGCACGGATCCATGAGGATGCCGCCGGACCCGTTCTAACTGTACCGGTTGAAACGGGATTTCAAACCCACCACTGTCTTTATGTGTTATTCCCTCCATAGAAAACCAGAGTCTTTATTCTGACTTTGAATTCTCCACTTATAGAGACAGATTCAAGATTCAAGGCAGCATAGCCAGCTGAGGAATTCTGAGAGTTGACATCAAGACAACTTAAAGCTTGGTTGAGAAACATTGATCTAGAGCTGTGATGGCAAACCTATGGCACGTGTGGCAAAGGTGGCACAAAGAACCCTATCTGTGGGCGTGCGTGCCATCACCAGCTGCACTTCCGGGTTCTATCACATGTGTGCGTGGCCAGCCACTCTCCTGGATTCTGTCATGCCCATGCGCGCATGTGCACGACGGAACCCAGAAGTGCACTAGCGATGGTGCGCATTCATGGAACTCAGAAGAGAGTGGCTGGCCACATGCATACTGGACCATTTGGCTGGTGTGCAAACACACAATGGAACCTAGAAGTACAGCTGGCCACCTCATACATGCGCACCGGCCAGCTGATCTCTTCCAGGTTTCAGTGCTCCAGCGCGCGCGCGCGCACACACACACACACACACACACACACACACCTGTTTTGGCACTCAATGCCAAAAAGATTAGCCACCACTGATCTAGAGAAAAACCTAAAATGAAAAGGAACCTGGTACCATAGGCATATAATTCCTCCTATAATTTCTACTAGGAAAAAGCCAGAGAGGTCTTTCTTTTGGCTTTACTAATTTGGCTTTTAATATTTTGACTCATCCTTTTTCCTTTTGACACCGTCCAGAATTGTTCAGGGAAAGTGGATAAACTGGTGATTGTGACAGGCCTAAGTGGTAGGAGAAACAGTATTTTGGATAAATCAACTAACCTCCAGATGGATTTCCTTCAGACGGTCTACCAAGAGATTGGATACATTTGAAGAGGAACATGGCAAGTGGCAAACATTTTTGAGCAGCAAGGAAAATAGATTATTTGAGAAAATGTTTTAGAGCAACACCTTATCACTTAATAAACGGTGTGAACTCTCTAATGTCTTAATGCAGTCCTGAATATCTACTTGATTAAGCTTTGTTGCAAGACTTTTATAGGTAGCCATCAATTTATGACCACAATTGAGCCCCAAATTTCCATTTGCTAAGCTAGACAGTTGTTACATGAGTTTTGCCACAGTGGTTAAGTAAACTATTGCAGTTGTTGAATTAGTAGCACCGTTATTAAGTGAATCTGGCTTCCCCATTGACTTTGCTTGTCAGAAGGTTGCAAAAGTTATCAGATGACCTCCAGGATACTGCAACCATCACAAATATGAACCAGTTGTCAAGCATCCAAATTTTGATCACGTGATCATGGGGATGCTGCAATGGTCATAAATATGAAAAATAGTCATGTCACTTTTTTCAATGCAGTTGTAACTTCAAACGGTCATTAAACAAATAGTTATAAGTCAACGTCTACCGTATTGCAGGCTGCTTGTCTGGTCTGTAAAATTCTGGATAGCCACTAGAGGCCAGAGGCTACCTAGTGGCGGTCAGGCCAAATATAATACTGGGCTGTTGTCCTGAATATGTATTTCATTGCTGTTCAGCTTTAACAGAAACCTGGCCTGTAGAAATGTAAGTACAATAGTGATATTTTCCAGGCAAAGAGATCAAAAAATGAATGGGGAAATTGCTAAATCTGCTAAAATTGCCCATCTCAGGAATTCTGTGGCCATAAGAAGAAACTGTGACTTTGTATTAGGGCTTGTAAAGCATCTCAGTGCAACCTCTGCAGAGAAAATCTTAAGGTAGGCTGAACTTGCTAAGAAAATTCTCAGCAGATTTTTACCCAAAGAACCATTAAAATGAAAGTGGATTTGGGGCCATTACTAGAATGAGAATAAAATACAGTAGCTGAGTTAAGGAATCTATCTGCCCCATTAAATTAACAAAGATGAGGCTGGAATAAGACTTCCTCTCTGACCTTGAGGCTTGTCTTAATTCAAATCCAACAATGTTGCCCCCTATGTCAAGTTCCAACATGATTTGATTTGATTAACTGGAGAATTTGGATTCCAGTTCCAGTTCCCTGTCCAGAAGCTACAATGTTGGAGAAATCTTTGTTAGTTATTTTAAGAAATCAAGTGTGTGATCAGAAGAGGACTAAATTCCTTAGTTGTATCCTATTGTAGGATTTTGAATGTGCAAAATTCCTTTTGTCCTTTCTCTCATTCATTCATTCTTAGACCAGCCTTGTGGGTTAGTTTTCCCATTCCCAATATCCCATTTGGAGGTTGGTAGGTTTCAGATTGTGTTGCCTGCCCACAGCCTCTTATCAACCCCATGGCTCAAAAGAAATATTACGCTGGCTATCACATAACATTTGGACCAGTGAATCAAAAGCACTGCTTTGCATTGGTCATGAAATCCATTGCTTCATAATCCTCAGTAATTAAGGCTACAACTTACAGTTGAGGTGAGCGATGGAAAAAAGCATCAAGAGGGACTAGTCAGCATCCAGTTAGATGTTCAAATAGAAAGGTGCCTGGGAATGTTAAATAATAACAAGGTCATGTGAGATATTTTTGGTGGGTAGGGGTGGGAGTGAGGCTGTCAGCTGAAAGTTTATTTGCTCATGGAAGCACTTAGCCAGGGTTTGTTTTAGTGGGATTATGTGTTCTTTAGCTTTTGAAAAGCAAAACGGGTGGTCTCCTCTTTCTCCCTCTGCCTCTTTCCAACCCCCCTCCTTTTTTGCCATCCAATTTCGATGTTAATTCCTCATCATTGTTTGCATGGACCTCTGCTGAGAGCAGTTACGGAGGCTAATTTTTCCATCTGTCCTGCTTGGGCCAGTGACTGGGGAAGCATGGTTGCTGTTACCTCCTTCAGGGCATTGATCAGTGGAGCGTTAAGCTTTTAATTGAGGTGTAAGTGTATCAGCTTAAGGGGGAGGTAGTGGCCGGTGGTGTAGTACAGGCTGGCTGTAGCACAGCGCAGAGCTTTCAAAGAGGCAAGAGCTCTTTTGCACTCACCAGTGTTTGGGCAAATACGAAGAAGTAGCCAGCTCTGGAGAGACGCCAGCTCCATCGCTATGATTCTAGGTGAGTGCTACACAACTTACTTTCATTGCCTTCTGCTTTTGTGCCCTTTGGATTAAATGTGCATATGCCTCTTTCTCCACCCCCGCCCCACCCCCCCCCCCTCTCTGGATGGGAATCAGCATCACTTTTATTTCAATGAGCAATCTTTTACTCCCCCATGTGTGTCTGTATATGATGTAGAGGCTTCGTAGTATGAGAAGGCATAGACGTTTTCACCTGCTTTGCAACCTTGCTGAAAGACTAAGCTGGTACACTTTGATCCTGGCAGAAGTATTTGTATAAAGGTGCAGTTGGCATCTGATAAACAATATGTCTCTAAATATGCGGAAGAAAAGGACTCTTTCATCATTCCCAAAGCTGGGTTTGTTTAAACCTGCTATTAAATCAAAGTATCTGCTTAAGCAGCTGAAGCAAAAGAGGGACAAAAATGACTGTTGCTTATTTATTCTAGGATTTTGGTACCTAAAAAATGTATGTATGCCCTGAACCTCCTTTTTATGCAATTCATGCAGCTGTGCATTACATATTGAGGAAAAAAATCAAGTTGACTTTTGATTGGAGTCAGCTGTCTTGTATCAGTTTCGTAAACGTTCCAGCATTTCTTAAAATGCAGCTGGACAGAACCCTGAAAATCACTGGCAAACTTAAGAGACTCATTTCAAGTATAGGTAAAAATATTTGCAAGAATATTTGGCATTCTTAGATCTATTGAAAAAGTCAACTTGTAATTTTGAGGCACAAAAGTGTAGGTGTTTCAATTTTGCTGAGCTGTGATTGTCAGGACTTGGATGATATCTTTTGTATCCATTTTATAAACCTTAGATTTTTATTATTCTTTCCTTTCCTTTTCTCTTTATTTTTGGAGTTCCCTATTTTCATTCCCCGTTTCTCTGCCTTAATCATTGCCTTCTTACTTTCTTGGGCCTTGAACTGGAACACGATAGCAGTGGAAATAGACTATTTTTTAAATTAAAAATAAGTAGAACAGAAAAAAAATATGTATTTATAGTTTACAGAATGTATAAAAATAATTTTAAATGCTCTTTTAATGAAGAACATTTTATATTGGTTATAAAACAAAATAATAGCAAATATTTTACATCCAGATTAAATTTAGAAATAAACAATTCTTCCTAAAATATAGCAAATTTAGGGTAAAACAGACCAAATCATATTTTTAAAATATTTGTTTTTTTCAGTAGAGATTTTTAAAAAGACATTCTAGAATATGAAGCATTGGAATTTTCTCTCTATTTCCCTCCATTTAATGACAGGCCAATTTTTTCTCATGAAACGGAATGGGTTGGGTCACTTTCGATGAACTCTCTTTTTTCAAAATCCTCTTTTGTAAAGAAATTGTACTGTTCTAGTCTTTTCAAATCTTGATTACAAGTACCATTTGTGGGGCTTTTGTCTGACTAAGAGAGACTGCTGTGCTGGAGAAATCAAAAGAAAAGCTGGCAACCTCAACTACCCTTTGCGCTGGTGTTTTCTCTGCATACTGTATGAGGAAGATTCTGCAGTATCTACTCCTGCTCCTTTTGTGGGGTATTTTGGTGAAGGTGAATAGAATAACGTACTGATTATTTGGCTTGGAATGAAATGCTACTCCCCCCCCCCTAATTTCTGGGTATAAATGTGCATTCCTATGTGCCTGGGTGCAGATGTACAACAGCAGTCTGGAAGGAGATGGGGCCAGTGAAGGCAAATCATGATAAAGCAGTTTGAACCCTCGAATTCCGTTTTTCCTTCTTCAGTCTTCTGTGACTATGTAAGTCCCTCTGAAGCAACATATTCAAGAAACACATGCACACACACCTTTCCTTATTTATGTTTGGACGGGATTATTTAGTAGGCTGCGGGCCAAGTATTCCTTTCATTGCTGTGAAAAAATTGTGAAATTTCAGTGCAATTCCTTGTTATTGCTGTGAAGGTTTGAAAGGCAGGTAGACAGTTTGTGGATAGTGTATGTTGTACAGGAAAAACGTACAAAACATTTACCAGTCTTTCTTCTGCTCGTGCTAATTTTATATTATTAAGGACATCTTCAGCCTAGATTGGGCAAGTTGTATTTTATAAGAATGTGTGGTCTAAGAAACTTAACCATCTTCGTTTAGGTCCTTCAGACAGCAGAATTTTTCACTAGCAGCGGTGTAGCACATTAGTTGTCTCGCATGGATGGCTTTAATATTTTTTTAATAATCCAAAATGTTATGTATGCTGCCTATCCCCTTCTGACATAAAATGGTCTTTTCTCATATTTCTGGAATATGTATCCAATTCAGGAGTGATGTATCTGGAAATATTTGCTTCTGTTGTATTGAGCTTTTCTCTTGTTCTCTTCTTGTAGAAAAACGTATCCTAGGAAAAAATACTGCAATTTTCTTAATTTGTTTTTTTTAAAATTAGGAATAGGTTGGGTGTAGACAAAGGCATGCTTCTTTTAGCAAAATAAAAAATGAGAATATTTTTTTTCTAAATAGTCTTAGATTAAAAATATTTTGCAATGATCGCAATATTATTCAGAAAGTTTCATTTGTGGTGTGCAGATATTTAATGGCAAGTTACCATTGGAACAAAACAATCATGTTAAAGTACATAAACATAAATGTCTATATAATTTTTAAACTAAAATGATTTAGCAGTTTTATGAGCTGTGGAGTTTCTCCATGGATCTGTTCTGTTAAAGGCCCAAATTATAGTTAAAATACTGTAGGAGAAGCTGCTTTCAACAAGCCAGTCATGAAATGTATACCTCTTCTCTCTGTATGTATCCTGGCTGATATCCAAGCAAAGCTGCAGTAGTATGCACCTAGTTTCCATTCCCTGGATGCGATATTTGTATTCTGACATGTTCAATGAAAAACAATTTATAATGTGATATAGTTCATGCTCTTAAAAAAAAAAGATGGATGGATGTATTGTAGAAAACCATTTTGACATCTTTGTGTCAGTGCTTCATCCACATTTAGAATCATCTATGTTATAGAAAAAAAATCAAAGAAAGCAGTGGGAAGAGAAGCAAGCATTGACATTGTAACAATGACATTGTTAAACAAATGTGTATAAAATGTACATAATTTGACAAAAGAACAACATAGATGAAATGGTATCCTTAATCATATAAGCTTTAGGTTAGCATCATGGATCATAGAGTTGTGAATGTATGCATGTGCTTTGCAAAATAAATGTGTCGACTTAATAATTGACCACCACCCCAAATATTTTTTTAAAATTATGCACATGATTTTCTAAGACAACTATTTTCTTTCTTTGGCAAAATTAACCTAATAATAAACAAAAGATGCCTTCAAATTAAACTAGCAATCCTACAAATCTGAAAGGAAAATAAATTTTCTTATCAATCTAGATAAAAAATTTTAGCAGCCTAGTGATATATATGTATTACCCATCAAATTGGTTAGTCAGACTTTATGAGGGTGAAAGTGTTCTTGCATAATAAGCTTTTTCTCTTTAGAAAATGATTTGGTTGAAATATGGATTGCTACAAGAATGCAGGAATCAAAGTATCAGGCAAAGGTACAGTACTACCTACTGCATTTTCAACCCCACCTTTTCTCAGTCTCTCTGTGTGTGTGTGTGTGCGCGCGCCCGTGTGTTGTAGGGAACTGTATTTCATAATTGTATTCATGTACAATGACAACCATACAAAAACTGAGAAAAGGTGGGGTCGAGAAAGCAGTAGGCAGTACTGTACAGTAGACAGGGTCTTATTTTCTTTTGACCCTCAAAATAAGCACTTGGCCTTATTTTCGAGGAGATCTTATTATTTTTGAGGTGCATGAGACAGCGAGTGTGGTCACCTCATGGCTGCTGCTGTGTTGCAGTATTTTTGGGGAGGGCTTATTTTCAGGGGAGGACTTATTTTATCACATGCGCTCAAAAGCCTGATTGGACGTATTATCTGGTGAGGTCTTATTTTCAGGAAAACAAGGTGGGTAGTTAGTTAGTTAGTTAGTTAGATAGATAGGTAGGTAGGTAGGTAGGCAGGCAGGCAGGCAGGCAGGCAGGCAGACAGACAGACAGACAGACAGACAGACTATAGATATAGATTAGATATTGATATAGATATTAAATTATTCTATGTTTTATTTATTTTTTTAATCCCCAAATTCTAGTTCTGGTTGTTAAATTCTGGTACTCACTTTCCTTTTAAGTAGTCTTCAAGTTAACTCCAGCTCACTCTTCCAAGTAGTCCTGTTTTAATATTTAGCAAGTTAGCAAGTTTCCAAATAGCCTGGTAAACTCAGTACAGGTTATTCTCAGGAAGGTATCATTCTGTGCTCAGAAACTAACTGCAATAAAATCAAGAGTACTTATAACACTGCTACAGCCAAAAATTATCTTTTTAATTACTTTATGTAATAGATTTAGATAGCTGCCCATCTTAAATACATGACTTTAGACAGAGGACAATATTAAAAGTAATAAAAAGCATATATAAGAAACATAAAATAGCATCTGGAAAAAAATATGTGATGATGGAGTATTGAGGATAAACAAGACCTGAGCTCTGAGACCTGGGCACACTTCGGCTCAAGCACAGAACAATATTCTCAGGACCCTTTGAAAGGCCAACAGAGATGGGACCAATCTGTTCTCCAGAGTGATGATATTACAGAAGATGGGTGCCATGACAAAAAATGCCCTACCATCCAAGACGTCTTAGCAGATTGCATCCAGAGTATGACCTTCCTACTGGTCTGAATGGGGAAAGGAGAAATAACAGGTGAGAGATGATCTCGTAACCTAATCCCAAACCATGAAGGTCTTTAAAAGCAACCATCAGCACCTTAAATTGCACTCAGATACACACCAGTAGCCAATGCAGCTCATAGAGTATTGATATCACATATGCTGAAAAGCAGGCCCTTTTGACTGGCTGTACCACCACACTCTGCAGCAGCTGAAGTTTCTGAATAATCTTCAAGGGCAGCCCCATGTACCGTAATCCAATATAGAGGTTACTAGGGCTTATT